ACGTTGGAACGATTCTTTTTTGACAGATATATATTTTATGTCATTTGAAAACAAATATAATAGAAGAATGGAGTTAGTTGTTCCTTAAGGATTGATTTTACTTCTAGTCCCCCCTAACCAAAAAGGTGATACATATTCATACTTACCAATAAATTTCAGCCCATATAACATAATTTATAGAATATATAATTTAAGTTAACGATCAATACCGATATAAAATTTATTGATATAATAATTTTCAAATGTAAGGGACCACAAGTACTTCTACCCGCTTATCCGAAAAAATAATATGAATGTACTTGAAACGGGAGCTCAGCTATCGTTGAGTGCACTTGGTGTGGCTTTATTACATGGCTGGATGACGTCATCGCAGCGAGATAAGATAGAAAGCAAATTGTAATCTTTGTAATCACGTGCTTGCAACACAAAAATTGTCATTGCGGTATTTTTAGGTCAATTACTTGAACTAACTTTCACATGAATATTCATTTCAAATGGACAACAACAAAAGTGGAAATATTCGTGTCAGTGTCAATATTACTGGTGGTAGGACCTCTTGTGAGTCTGCACGGGTGGGTACCACCACCCTGCCCATTTCTGCCGTGAAGCAGTAATGCGTTTCGGTTTGAAGAGTGGGGCAGCCGCTGTAACTGTACTGAGACCTTAGAACTTATATCTCAAGGTGGGTGGCGCACTTACGTTGTAGATGTCTATGCACTCCAGTAACCACTAAACACCAGGTGGGCTATGAGATCGTCCACTCATCTAAGCAATAAATAAAAAAGATATTTTTTTTTTTAGCTAAACCCAAAAAGTACTACAATACAAATATTACTATCACTTTTCTTCAATAGTACGTAGTTTTCGCTGAAACATATAGTACTATCACCATGAAAATTTTACTCTAATAAATCCAAAGATCACAGTAAATAATAGTGAGTTTATCACTCATCCCAAACGCAGTTTGCTTAAATTCATAATAAAATTTTAATAAAACAGAAATAGTTAGCTACCCTAATGATGACACAGGTAAGCCAGCCCCGGGGGACCGGCTGTAACATGACCGCTGAACCAAAGCACGGACACGCTTGATTGTACACAATCAACCCTAACATTTAACGTATGTCATAATTTTCGCTGTTAATGAGCGAATCGGAAGTACACAATATTAGGGTTTTCTTTTGAAGGATTTCCTTTCCTTTTTTCTTTTCATTTCTTTTTCTTTTAGGTTGAGGAGTGGTTCAAATTTACCAGTTGACGAATATTATCTATTTTCGACACTTTTTTTTATTGACATTTACAAGAATTAAATGACAATAAGAAGAGGATGACAACATAGACCTAGGTTTCATACTTCAGTGGAGGACAATAAGAAAATGACAATAGATGACAATAGAAGAGATTTCATCTATCAATTCATCTTCCAATATGGAAATACTCGTAATATAAGCTGAAACTCTGATGCCATGCGCTTCCTTGAAACTTCGTTTGTTTTTACGGAGACTTTATGAAGTGAATAAAAATCGTACTCAGTAGTTCGCAACATGCCATCACCCAACTTAAGAAATGAGGACGAAGTCCCAATTAAATTATAATATAATAGATATAAACAAACAGTGGTATCTAAACCAATTCGCCTCTATGGGGACAGATTTTAAAGAATTATTATTTCTCTATTATTAATTCTTACTGCTGAGAATTCACAATTCCCGTCCATTGGATACAAGAATCGGGGAAAACAACATAGAAGGCGGGTAGCTCCATTTTCGAAAAAATCCAAAATAGACTCATGTCCAAGCCCTTACAGGTAAGCGCAAGTTCGATCCATCTAGAAAAGTTCAAAGCCAAAAGATTTCACTTGACCTTTTACTGATCCTTTAACTTGAAGCAGTCAAAATCCAAAGAATAAGAAGCCTTGTGTATTCGTATTAAGCAATGCGGCTATACTGGTATTCAAATAAAATAGCAAGTTCAATTTGTTAAATGAAATACATACATACATACATCGATTCATACATAATACAAGCTCACGAATGACTTCCACGATAATAAAATAACATCGTATAGTAAAAAATTAACCTGAAAAACGTTAAATTTGCGTAAACACTAGTAGCAGCAATTGTAAATTCACACAGATAGGTAAGTATCACCACATATGTAATTTCTGCGCTTTTTTACGATAAAGTATTTTTTTTACACTATTATTAATTCAAATTCATTAAAATTTGTTTTCTATATTTTAGTTTGATTTTCTATAAAAGCGTATTTTGTTAGTTTTTTTAAACTATTATTCATTTATCATTTAAAACCAAGGACCATTTTCGAGGGTGTACAAGGTACTAATTATACAAAAACCTCTCCCTAGTGGAAAAACCCCTAGAAGAAAATATATTAGTATGAAATTGCCGCTTTGTACTGAAAAATTGAAATTCGTTTTTTTTTCATATACATAACAGGTATATTTAATTAAAATATCTAATATTATTATCTATACATTGCCGCTATCATATAGAAAGGTCATTTATGCCTTTGAGATTGAACCTTGGTGATCTAGATTCTAGAAACTGTGTGAGCACAGTACTAGAGCTTTTTATACTGCCTCCTGGGAAGAAAACTTTTTATCATGTAGAAAATTGTCTAAATCACGAAAAAAATGGTAGTCCGTTGAAGCATGGTCTGGCGAATACGGAGGGTGACGAATGGTTTCTAATTGCAGTTCCTGTAGAGTTAAAACGGTTTCTCGTGCTGTATGAGGTCTCACGTATAATAATATATATTCAGCAATAATGGTGGAGATCGATTCATGAGTCGGGGCTTACCATTGCCTTTTTATTGGTAAGCTTTGCAGCCATTGCATTTTTCGCTTACGGTTATCGTAAAGAATCCACTTTTCATCACATGTCACAAATCGATCCAATATTCCTTCATTTCTGTATCGATTCAACAAGGAGACACAAGTTTCAACACCTCTTTGTTTCTGCAGATCAGTCAAATCATGAGGCACCCATTTTTCTTAATTATTTTATTTTATTGATTTGACGCAAATAAGTCAATTTTGTTGGTAAGGTTAACGTTACCAATGTAAGGTTAGCCATGCCGCTAATTCCTGGATAGTTTACCTCGGATCGGCTTCCACCATCTCTTTCAATTCATTGTTATTCACATGTGTGGGCGGTCTTCCGTTCTCGTTCTTCAACGAACCACATGGATCAAAATTTCCATCACGAAAGTGTTTAAACCAAAATCGCACGGTGCGTTCATTAGAAGTCCCCTCTCCAAACGTAACATTGATATTGCGAGCTATTTCTACAAGTACAGCGTTAGTTCCGCGTCGGAACTCGTATTAAAAAACCACTCGAATTTTCGAAGTATCCATCTTTCTTGTCTAAGCTGAATAAAAAAAACAACTGAAAGTTGATAATGGAATGTTTCACATTTTTTAAAAGAAGAACCTCATAGGTACCATTTGAAAAAGTTTCACTCAAAAATCTCAAACCATGAAGGTTCTATGTCAATTCGAAGTACCTATTACAATAGAACGGTATTTTCATACTTTAACCCGTATTATTTTAATACTGCATTGGTTGTATCGTAAAACGAACCATTTCGCTACATGGCTTATTCAAATAAAGCCCCGACTTAAACTGCAAGATCCTATCTACGTGTTTATGAACTCCAAACCGAATCACTGCATTGCGACAGTGTAACCTAAATTTGGAAATTTAAAAATTACCGGCACCGCTAGCTTTTCTTTAAAACCATCCATCAAATTTGCAACAGCTGCATTTTTCAGCACCAAACCACGTTAATTACACACAAACACGACAAATAAACGTGCGGCTAATTAGTGGATCAATTTACTTAACATTAAAAATCGTTTAATTTTGAACGATAATCAATAAAACATGTGCGGGTTTGTTCGAATTAAGTGTTCAGAATTACGATTAAAAATGTTAATAGTTTACATCTTCAATCGTTTATTGTACCGATTACGACTCGTATACGAGAACATTGAACATGGATATCCCAAAGGGAATGGCTCACCTTGAGGTATGAGGTCAAAGTCTTAATTGAGCTTTATAACGAATATTTCCCTTCAAACGGAAACTCATGACTACTCGCGATAGAAATAAACAGAGTTGTGGTACCTACTTATCAACAGTGCAGTAGGCTGTATAGATTTCACTAAATATATTCCTATAGATTATTGAGATTAGATACTACCTATGTTTAACTTACCATATCGGTTTCGGAAAATTCAGTATTTCTGGCGTTTTTACACAATTTAAATTTAGTTTATAGTTGTTTCATAGTAATCACTTTTTTTTTTCCGGTGAAGCTCTCTATATTTATATATATATTTACATCGCATAATTGATGATGATGATGATGATGACGAAGGAATGATTTAGGGAATAAGGTGACCTGTTTCTGCTGATGGGTAGTTACTGATTCATAATTGCGTACTAAATACAGTATGTAAACGCCTCGAGGATATTGCTATCAAAGTTTCTTTTTATCCATTTATGTACTAGCGACCCGCCCTCTCTTCGCTTCGGAAACTGTAATTTATTATTGATTTCTCCACTATTTAATGGATGTCATTATACATATAAACCTTCCTCTTCAATCACTCTATCTATTTAAAAAAACCGCATCAAAATCCGTTGCGTAGTTTTAAAGATTTAAGCATACATAGGGACAGACAGATATAGGGACAGAGAAAGCGACTTTGTTTTATACTATGTAGTGATAATAAAAGCCACCTGAAATTTTCGTACGACCAGTACTCAAAATCGACGACTTCTTCTATGGATGGATAATAAGAAAGGCGTAACATCTCGAGTATACTATTTTCAGATATGATGTTCTCTGTTCATCAAATTTTAATAGCGATAAAAAACCTTTAACACCACTTTGGAACCAAAATTGTTAACTATTTGAAAAAGATTTATCAATGCCTATAATTCAAAAGCAGTTTACAATACCGTTCGGTCACAATGTGCCGGAATGTGGAATTTAATATCGTGGGACGGATATCTTTGCTCATCTTGTTCGAAGATTTTGCAATAAATTACACAAAGCCACACAAATGGATATTATGTTTGTTGCTGTTGTATATGTTTCTCTCTCATTTCTATTCTCAATCGTTTTTTAGTAATACTTTCGCGTAACTGTGGTTAAAAAAACCCGGTGCAATTAGCTTACACTGTATTTTCTTTAAATTATCTATGAATAAAAGATACAACATCATGGACCTATTTCTAGGTGTACCTAACACGTTTATAAGGCGGCAAATTTAAGGATATAGTGTTGTCTTCAGAGACATATAAACATAATATGCTTTCTGATTAAATAGTAAATATTTAATAATAGATTATGATTATATAGCTATCATTAAGAGTATTAAATTATTATTATTATTTTTAACTGTATTTTTTTACTTGTTTTTTCGTTTATTGAAAATATTTTGACTTATTTAAAAAAAAATGTATTTAAGAAAAAGCCAAAGGAAAAAAAGCCCACTGAGTTTGTTTCGCCGGTTCTTCTCAGGACTGTGGCTTTTTTTGGAACCGGTGGTAGAGTTAACATTGTTATTTATATTTTGACATTCAACAAATATGTTATGCTGACATCTAAGTTGAAATAAATGATTTTGAATTTGAATTTTAAATATTAGATATCGAATAATTTCTTCCAGGCCGCGCGATTGAACGAGTGTGTGCTGGGGCCGACGGAGCTGGCATGGTGTCCGCGGCAAGGGCGCTACTCGCAGCTGTCACCAGAGTCTTACTTTTGGCAGACATGGTAGTTGTTCGACAACTATTGCTTGCTAAGGATAAGGTAAATTTATTAGCTCAAACAGTACAATAACGGCAGAACCAAAAATAGTGGCAGCCACGTTGTAATGTCTAGGGGCTACTACAACTACATCAAAACAGATGAGCTGTGAGTTCGTCTAGCCATTTACGTAAAAATAAAAAATTAGGACGAGAATTAGAAAGTAAAATTGGGCAACACAATGAAGAAATCCAATATCTCATCCCGTTCCGAGTACAGACTGTAAATGAACCAAGCTATATCAAAACAACGACAGGGTCCAAATTCTATCAGCATCTTACCCTCATAAAACATTGACCCGCTACAGTAAGAATAAAAATGCGTACATAATACCGCTTAGAATTCGATGATAAAATTTGAAAGTCTATAAATTATTTTATTCACTCACACCCCGACTCAAGGAACAAAGTTATGTATCGCAATATAACAGTCGAAACTCATGAAAACTGGCGACGGAATTCACGTTACGTGTATCTATTTCAGTTCGAATAAACTTCACGGCAACTTGTGAATTATGGCTCGTAAGTTAGATGTTTGTGTACGAATTCGAGGTACCCGGATCCGACAGGTGGCGCGATCGTTAGACCGGCTGGAGTCGGTCTCTAATTTCGCGGAATTCGTGCGAGCATTCACCGAATTCGGCGGCGGTATGGTGGAACTGGCGCGGCTCACGGCCGAGCGCCGCGCCGACCTGCGGGACGAGCGACGGAGGGCCCAGGTCGCTGCTGCCAGGAATGTACTAGAACGTTCAACACTGATGCTCCTTACTTCGTCAAAGGTACATATGAGAATCATCACTTACCCAGTCACCGTCCTCGTCGAACCCGTCGCTTGCGACGAAGGGCTCGACAAGCGAATCAACCCATAGACACAGCCCACTGAGTTTCTCGCCGGATCTTCTCAGTGAGTCGCGTTTCCGATCCGGTGATAGATTCTGCGAAGCACTGCTCTTGTTAGGGTCAGTGTTAGCATCACTCCGGTTTGAGCCCCGTGAGCTCACCTACTAGTTAAGGTAACGTTGAAATAACCTCTCAAGGCTATCAACTTAGGTACAAAAAACACTTAAATTTACGCTTGTTAAGGGCAACTGTGAGCCTATACCTACCGTTCAAATGCAAACTATTCTCCTTGTTCTCAATAATGACCGGAATGCATTTTCAATGTTTGCATATTTTATGGTATTACATTGGAAGATCAGCAAATTAATGTCTATAATTGCTAAGTAATATAGTCTATAGTAGAACAAACTTATACGGTTTTAATTATAGTACGATTTACAAAAAAAACTTCAATTAGTCACGTTTTTTTTTAAATACGAAAGCAGAAGAATACAAATCCTCTTACCCAATTCAGTATCCTCCAGGATTGTGTTAAATTGAAGACCTCGACCGGGCGAGGTTTTGTTATTAACACGAATGGACCGCGATAAATTTTCAATCCTGTTGTCCACCCGAATCCCACGACCCACCTAAATTAGCTTTGGCATTTGGTCGCTGATGCTATCAATTATGTACGTGCCAAGCCAATTCGGGAAACCATAATACGTTGATTTGCTTCAATGCTCAACCATTACGGTCCAATGGCGGATCCAGGGGGAGGGTCATGGCGGTCATGACCAACCTCTGAGCTGGGTCCAGGACTTAGGTGGACCACTCACTAATTGAATATAATGATTTTATTTATATATTTTGTCACCATACAGATTTTATGTAACTACATACCTTCAATATTTAATTAATTTAATATAATATAATAACTTTGTATAATGGCAAACGTTTGGGAACGAACGCATCTAAATTTGACTATGTGACCCCCTCCTGGCGCCAAAGCTGGATCCGCCCTTGTTACGGTCACAGAGTATTAATTTATAACCAAAACTATTATAATCAGAACAATATCGCTCACACACGATCAATTTCGCAGCTCACTTCGGTTGTTGCTGAAGATTTATTTTTGTTTTGTTTTATTGTGTCAACTGCAAGCAGCACGATACGGTTTTTTTAGATAAATATTTAAATTTTATTCACAAAAGATTTTCAATAAATATTTAGCTGCTTCACTAATATAAAGTCTGCACTCTCCGTGATTACGAAAAGCTGAAAAGCTTAGCTTGAAATTGCGTGAAGTTTTTTTTATTATTTATTTCAACAGGATTAAACAAATTATTTTAATGCGGCGAGCTTTTTAAATAATGTTTTGCAATAAGCGTAACATTGTAGCAATTTCGTTAGGAAAGTTAGCGCGACGATGCAAATGTGAGTATATCTCTGTGTTCCGTAAGTGTCTGTTTTTTATTTCTCCGCAATGATATCGTAAGGCCTTCGTGATTAAATTAAAGGCCTCTCATTGACATAATATATTAAATGGTTCATTTAAAACACTTAAAATTTTCATACTTTATACATTTATACTATCCAAAGTGTCGGATACTTTACAATTTTTGTGGTCGCAGATTCACGGAAGACGAGTGCTTAGGACGGAAATTATAAAATGTTGACAAAATTAAAACTTATTAGTTCTAATTATTTAAACGATTTCTTAAAATTTTACAACTACTAATTTATTATCTATATATTAATACGTGAAGGAAAAACTTTGTATCCATTTTTACGAAAATTGCGCGGATGGAGGAGTATGAAATTTCCCACACTTATAGAGAATATAGAGTAGTGCAGAATGTTAATATTTTTTAAATTTATGCCTAAAAATACATTAAATCAATAAAAAAAACATTACACACACTACCATGTATTTGACGCACACATGCATGCTTACTATTTATTTATTGTCAAACTTTTGTTCTTGACGTCTGTGATCAAATTGAGAATAGATTAAATATTGTTTGTCTTTATTAATTAATATTTTTCTATAGTGTAGTCTTGGCGAAATTTGTGATTATAGAAGTATAATAGTCTTTGAAAATAGAATCATAATAGTGTACAAACTTACAATTTCAATTAAATATAGTCGAATTTCGACTACTGCGGGACCACTAGTTAGATCTAATTTGCTTAGGCATGTTTGTTGATAAATGTCACTATTAGAAAAAAATTCGTAAACATATCAATCACATTAAAGGTCATACGAGTGTAGGTAGTGTTTATACGTCTCTGTGAGATGAACAGTCGACGTCATGAGCGCGGATGGCAGCTCGTGCAATTTGTCAGCTCTTCCAGAAAAATGTTCCGCCGTCTCGCCTCCGATTTCATTCCGCAACATTTTACGAACTTTTTTATATATGAATAATGTTTTTTTCGGAATGATCATTTCTTTTTCGTTCTGTAACTGTAACTAATACCAAATTCAAATCTGGAAAAACTCTGTTGGTTTGTCTTTAAATATTTTTAAATAGCAGAGCCATCTTCGTCCCGAAGAAATGTTTTTGTCAAAAATAATTTGCTTAAAAACTCAAGTAGAAGTAATATCATACTGATAATTTGTATCGAATGCATCTATGACTTTCTCTGCGTTCAGAATTCCTTATGGATTTAATCAGCTAATGTATTAAGCCGGAGCGAGGATATTAGCATCACATGCTTCGTATTTCTTGTATTTTATGATGTTAAATAACGATGATACTATTATATTCTATTGCAAAGAAGAATATTAGCTTATAAATATTGCCTAATTCATTTGTAAAATCAACAGACATGCATGCGACATCCGGGAAGCGCATCGGCGAGAGAAAACCGTGACACTGTTTTTTGTCAAATGCGACGGGCGATGGACCTCATACACTACGTAGTACGAGACGGCTTGCCCGGCCACGAAGAACATGGACATGAGGTTTGATATTCAATAAACTCAATTAATAATGAATTAAAAATAATCCTATACATTTAAAAATAAATGTGTGTATTCACGTATTATATTTATCAATGAAATATTTCAAAGCCACGTAATTTAAATTTTCATAGATAATTTCGACTGACTAATGTCAAATATCTAGAAAATTTCTTCACTATTCTTATCTTTATGATGATGATGAGATGAGCTGAGCACGAGTGGAGCTAGCTGAACTGAAACACGTATTCGCATAGTGTAGACGAATTTTGGCAGTTTGAACAAGCATACCTTAGACTTTCGACACGCAATGGACTGCACTCCGCGTTTAAAAAAATTTATAAAATAGTGTTCATCACCATTCCTTGAAGTCATAGATTATACACTTAATATATCTTGAAATTCCACGCGTGACATCACGAACTTAATGGCTCGTCTAGCGCAGATAGCTTTAAAGTAGAACTAGCAGCCCTTAACTTGGATTACTCTTTGGATATGTGCCGGAAGAATATATACACCTAGACCCGAATTCTAATACTAAATACTGACTTCGAACGTAAACTAAACTAGACTTCGTGGACACTTACGGAACGATGAAAGGATCAAATATCTGTCCAATAATTCGATTGTAATTATAATTTTGCCTTTGTTATGAGTTATATTGGTGAAACTAAAACTATGATTAAGACTAAGACTAAGACTAAGATAAACGAGACAATTTGTCAAAACGTGACTAAATTAAAAATATTAACCTATAAATGATTTCACAAGTTGAAACAATGGTATAGCTTTAATCTAATGTAAATAGTAGCACCTTTCTGATGTCGTTTAGATATATGTATATAATATAATGTGTCTAAATATCCTAATTGGTTTATTTTAGTTCTGGATCATTCTAGAATAAACCGAACGATACAATTATTATATGACATTAGATACAATAATTAGCTTAAATAACCGTTCTAACTGCTTAAAATATTGAATTGTTATGGGTCCTTGATAAGTACGGCAAATTTCGAGGTAATCCGAGGTTTTGAAGGGGGTCAAATCCACCGTCAAAGATTCCGTATATGTACTAACATGCGTATAAAGCTAATAAAAGCGTATAAAAAAAAGAATGGGCGCTGAGCGAGACTGTGCGAATATGGTAGTATGTATTTTGATTTCTACCTAAAATCTACAGGGGTACCACGTCGTTCTCATTATCCGTTTTCCTCCGAATGAACTATGAGCTAGTCCGGCTACATTAATAAAAACATATTCCGCAGTAACAAAGTAACACACCAGGTGACAAAACGAGTAATCTTGACCGTAATATCCGGGATTAACATTGGAAACGCTTCTACCGCTTAATCCGGGTCTATACAACAAATCTGGGATGATCCCTGCTCTCCCCACAACTATACAATGTTATATCTACGCTACTAAACACTAATGACTGTTGTCATTTTACAGTGTTCAAATTATTCTCTGAACAAATCCAACAGTTTATGTAGTTCACAGCAACTGCAGTATACGAAGTCAAAAATAATAATAATAAAAATTTTCAAAATGAATTATTTTTCAACTTCAACAATAATTACGATAAATTCCCCTCTTGGTTTTTTCTAAAGCAGAATCCATATATATTTTAAGCCCGACTGAATAACACCCATCTGGCCATAGGTAGTGCCACAGAAAAATAAAAAGAAATTACATTACAGTTTTGTTAAGAAGTTGGAAACTCATTTCTGTTATGGAGCTGAATGCAATTTTCAAATTCTTCGTTCGTTTATATTAGTCGAATGTTTGTGTATTGCGCTTTATGAAACATCCCTGTGACATCCATCTTTGTGACAAATCTGGCTGTCCATGTAGTAATCGTACTTAGAAGTCGAACAAAGCAAATATGGAAAGAATCGAACGAAATATTATTCAAAAGCAGACTCGTGTCCCGGCTTTTTTTATTATGGCTTAAAACTTGCACCTTATGAAAGACATAACGTTCATTAACTAAACTCAATAGTTAACCTTATTAATGGAAATATAGATTTATATTTGAATTACACAAATTCTAATAACTTTATGGCCTTAAGTGAATCATTAAAGTAAACTCCGCCTTTCTCGCCGTCATCTTCGGCTTAATATCAGATTATTGTCGTTAGAAAAAGTAAAAGATATTAAATACATTTAAGATTGTAATAATATGTATGATAAAATATGTCAGTGTCGTAGACGTTACGGCTTAGAAGGCTGTCAAAACCTGTATCTAGAGAAATTATTGCTGACGGTTTATCTGGATGTCGTATAAACAAGTCTAACCCAAATAGTAAACACATACTGGAGTCGGAGAGTATAGTACATTACGGAAAAAAAAACGTCAGTTTAATGTTGATGTTCACTCAAACTAAGACTACTTTAATTTCATTAAATAAGTATTAAAAAAATGGTTCATATTTTTAGCTGCACTTATTACCACGGTATTAAATTTATATTCATCATTTTTTTTAATTAATACTTAACATTTATTTAGGATTTTTTTAATTAACTGAGTCCAACTACTCATTTCATTCTATACTGAAAATAACGGCCAGACTGTTAATCATTCTGCCAAATTACAGCGAATCCTTTCGCTCGATTCACAACCAAAGTCTTTCGATTGCGTGCAGTTAACCTTACTATGGTCTAACAATAGATTAGTGTTAAGATCGTACTAAAGCATTAATTAATTTATAAATGAAAACTACAATACGTTGATTTATTATTTTCATAAAATGGCGGTTTTGAGACAAGGAATACCAACTTCTCAAATAAAACATACAAATGGCGCGAAACGTCGGAATGGCTTCCTTCATTCCGATAGAGGCACCCGTCACGTGCGGACGTGCTCATCGTCCACTCGATCGCCCGGTCTTTGTTCGCCCGGCTTTTGTTAGCCCGGCCATTGTTCGCGCGGCCTGTGTTTGTGGTACATCTGCCGACTAAGTGCTCTTTCTGGAAGTTTTTATTTGTTTTGTCTCCTTTTGTTGTTTCTGTGTTCGTGGTACATCTGCCGACAAAGNAAAAAAAAAAAAAAAAAAAAAAAAAAAAAAAAAAAAAAATGGCTTCCTTGTCAAGCATCGGAAAGCTGGGTATCGTGTTACATTTACAGTTAATCGATAATGTACCTCATCCGTATACAGATGGGAATTTGTATTAATAAGTGTCGCAAAGGTATATTAAATTATATTATAAAATATTAAACTATGCACTTTCGGAAAATCGGATCGTGAGCATAAGGTCAAGATAATTTTTCAGATCAATTCAATTGCGATCGCGAAGACTTATAATGAACAAGAAAAACAAGAAAGAAATAGTTTTATCGAGCTGTTCACTCAAGAATTGATACTTTGTTTTACAAATCAGTAATTTTAAAATGCGCAATACAGAGGACGAAAAGATCTACTAAAAATCTAGTTGAAAATGTTAATAAAAAAACAGATATCAGATCAGGAAATTACGATCGTGGCAACGAATTCAAATGTACGATGTAAGGAATATACTTTAAATAGAACGTCAGCTGATATCGATTCCACTTGGGTCGTTACGAAATTGGGTTTCTTTTATTATATTCGGCTTCTTAAGTAAATTTCTTTTCAATTTCCAAGAAATATTATGTCATAGCCGGATTAGTTCTCAGATACAAATCACATTATCGCGATTGGCAAACTTCCCGCTCGGTAGTGAGGCGCTTTCTATAGTTATCAAGATTATATTTAAGAAAGCTACGTAAATTATTAATTAGATATATCCAGTTTATAGTATAAAAATCTTCTAGAATTTACGTTTTTTAATGTGGTTTACGTTTTCATCGGTCAGTTGAAACCAAACAAATTAAAATGGCATAATCATAATCGGCAGATAACCATCACCATGGAAAAAATGTTTACTATTTATCAATAGGAAAATAAATTTCATACTTTTTAAATTTCAAGCTAGGTAGATATGGTAGGAACATTTTGGAGCAGCTTAATGTTGAGACTGTTCAAATATTAGGCCTTTAGCTATGAAATCGCCTTTACACAGAAGGTTATACATTTTTATTAATTTTTTTATCAATCAAAATATGCGATATCCGTGGTATCAATGCATCTGTGCCAGCGTAGTCGTAATTTGTGTATGCTCTTCTTGAAGAAGTATACAGGAGCTAACAAACTCTTCAAAGGTATTTTGTGCCGCCTCTCGCATATTGAACTTTTTCCCTACCATGAAGTTAAAAAAACATTAAAATGTCTTGTTGCGAGAAGTTTGTCGGTGCAAGGTCTGGTAGACAGTACAAAAATGTGATAACTGCTTACGATTATCAAAAAGACAAATTCCTTTGTTTCTGTGGTGTTAAAAAACGCAAGGCATACCATAAACCGTTCGTCGCGCTGGCCATCGGTCAGTTCGTGCGGCACCCACTTATCAAGTTTTTTTACCTTGCCAATTTGACGCAAATGGATCAATATTGTTTCAATGCTAACGTTGAAAGTTACTGCTAACTCAGCTGTAGATTAAGTACCGTTATTTCCACTGTAAAGTTTAATTCGTCATTGTTGTCTTTATTTTTCGAGCGACCACGGGGTTCATTTTTTAGATCAAAATTTCCACGTCGGAAGTAATCAAACCAATAACGAGTCGTGCGTTCGTTTGCAGTATACATTCTGTACACGTTATTAATTTTGTGAGTCGTATGTGCGGCATTGCTACCGCGACGAAACTAGTATTCCAAAATTATTCAAATCTTTATTGTGTCCATGTTGATCAAAAATATACAAATGTAGTGAAAACAAAACACTGCAAAAGAATAAAACGCTAATCACTAAACAAAAGCCTGAATTTGAAATATAGCATTCAATAGATATTTCTTGAATAAAATTCATTTAAGTTTAGAATTTATTGCCAGCCACAGCCATACATAAATTGCGTTTCAAATGGCCAGTATGTTAAAACGGCAATTTTATAGGTTATTATATCCTACGATATCCAAAGCGACAGCTTTTTTTTGCGAAAACCCTCATCAAAATATAATGAACATTTTCCAAATCACAATTATTTGACGAAACGTTTCCAGAGAGCCAGCCAGTCATCCACAGCACGCACTCTCATTAGCGCACGATGACTTTGTAAACATTAAACCCTTTTATAGCCTAAAACCTATTTCAAATGAACTAGCGTACCATTCAACTGTGCCAAAGTAAAATGTCTTCCTATATAGAATCGGTAAAGAAAACAACCATGACAATTACGTCCAGACCAGACAACTACTAGAATACGAAACGATCATGACGTAAACTGAATTATGACACAATTTCTACTATTTGACTGTTTTTAAATTATAAAAAGCATATTAAATTTTATCTATTAAGAATTTTGCACATATAGTAACCATGCACACTAATAAAACCTAAGCTAAAATAGCCTGAAGTGGACATAAACCGGTGAGTAAAGAAAATAGCTAAAAGTTTTAATTTAATACGTCGAAATAATTAATACGTATTTCCTTAAACACCTTGGTTTCCCTTTCTTGTCTTTTAACGAAATATTGTTTCTTCGATGCGTAAATGTTTTTATTTCTTTTCCTGTAGTTGAAACCTTTCTCGGATAGTCATGATCAGGTATTATTTATCAAACCCAGGTAGATCAGCGCCTCTTTATCTATTTATATTGATTACACAGCACTAGAAACAATAGTAAGTTCTTAAAAGTTAAGCTTGTATACAAACTATGCGTAATTAGTACAGTAATTTTTGTTTTCTTTTTTGCACCTATTCATGGAATTTTCTTCATATTTTTCACTATTATAGAAACCTCAACTTCACTGTCCTTTTATGGATTACTGGTGGTAGGGCGTCTTGTAAACCCGCACGGGTAGGTACCACCAGCTTACCTATTTCTGCCGTGAAGCAGTAAGGCGTTTCGGTTTCAGCAGCCGTTGCACTGTTAAAACTCATGTCTCAAGGTAGGCGGCGACATTAAAATGGTTGATGTCTTTGGGCTCCCATCAGGTGTGCCGTGTGCTTATCCATTCATCTTAGCAATAAAAAAAAAATCTAATGAAACGTACGTCACATTTAAAAGAAATCAAATAAATGATACAAATAGTCCAAGCTTTATAAACTAAACAATTAGTATTAAGCACAACAATCTATGGTTTTGCTACCAGCCACGCATAAATAAACTGGGTATAAACGTCTGATTAAGCTTTATGCCTTTTCTTTGACTATTTTAACTAAACGATAACGTAATACAAGAGTAGATCATATTTAGGACTATTTTTAATAAATGTTGGGTAACTAAGCATAGCTTACACCGTGTTTTGTGTCTTGCGATCATAACTGAAGCTGTTTAGCAATGCAAAGATATAAGGCGGTGTAAACATCCTTAGCGTACACAATGTTTAATGCCATAATCGATAATATCAAACTGGTGAGTGTACTTTAAGCTTGCCCTGTCTAACGTATTTAGTTCTCAACACTATTGTTAATTTAGTGCTTGTCACTTCTCAATTTATTAGGTACCTAATAGTTTTAATTTATTATTCCTTCTGCAGCTCAAGTTTTATTCAAGTTTAAATTTTATAATGTAGCACAATATTATCCAATATCATTCATACAATCGTAACAAAGACATTTTCCACAAATTACATTAATAATAAATTTGATATTCAGATTATGAAAACATTTTTATCTGGAAATTTAGGCAGCTCAGTGGGAGGCGGGGACTGCATTGGGTGCTCTGCGAGGACTGTCATCCCAAGTAAGGGCAGCAAGAGCAAGGGGCGGAGCGGACGCCTCACGCAGACGAGCCCTAGCTGGCACGCTGCGGGCTTTGGTTGAACGAACGCACGACTTCACAGACTCCGCTTACACCTCGCATGAACACAGACAGCAAATACTAGCTCTCGCCGAGAGAATTGCCTACGAGTTGGAGAGACTCGTTGCCGTAGCGGTTTCGCTGGTCAGTATTTTCAAAAATCTGGTAGGTACGAATCAAACTATATGTAAACAGAGTACTTTTAAATACAGCAATAAGTTGGATTGTGGTACCAGCAACCCTTGAGAAGTAAGAACGAAATAATGATTAAACCAGTAATGACAAATTTCATTAATATTGCGATTTTTATTTCCACACGATGATATCTTTCATCTACAGGAAGCTATTCGCGAACTTGTTACAAGAAATACAAAATGAACAAAAAATTTGTAGAACCAATTTATTTATTTATTTATCCCATCCAATACAAAGTCAGGCTTACAGTTTGCACCAAAACGCCTGACTCGTTAACACAAAAAACATTATTAAAATTATTAAGTACTATTATTATGCTAAAAATAACATTACATATTTTGGAAAAAAGTATTCCCCAACTATCGGCAAATGAGGCGCTTACTAAATACACCAGACGTCTTAGAAAATATCTACATAGAATCTCACGGAAGTAATAATCTCCTTTGTCGAATCACTCTTGTCAGAGCGGTCGTGGTCGTCATGCAGTATCATTGCTGTGGGCAGATGTTAGACGCCTCACGACCAATCGTCACTTCTCCCGGTTTGTGGTAAGCTTGGTAAACTCAAGCAAACAACCGCCAACTACCGACTTAACTTGGTCGATCCATTGCCAGTGCCACCTTCCACGCCATCTGATGCCTTCTACTTTGCCCTGAATGACAAGGCGCTCTATGAAGTCATTTCCTCGCCGGGAGATAAGTCCAAAAAAGGATAGTATACGCCCATGCAATAATAATAGTTGATTTTAAATGATACAGCATTATTGGGATCGGAATTTTAAATTTTATTTTCTAAACAATAGGAGGAACAAGGTGGTATAAGTAGTAGCGCTGCACTGGAAAGTGCATGCACAGGCGCTACTGGTGCAGCATCAGAACTAGAACGAGCCCTAGTAGCCGCCGCTCGCGACCAAGCAAGAGACTTGGCCCCACTTGCAGACGAAGCTAAACGTCTCGCTTCGGACCTCGCACATATAGGTAAGTCGACGGATCGTACTGATACCCTTTATATCAACAAGTCTACTGAAATAAATCTATAAACAATTTAGAAAAACTTATTTCGAACTCAGCCAGTTCCTGTGGCGAGAGAGAATCGGAGAGGTTGCATCATATAGCCAGTCGTCTCCATGAACAATTAGACCATATTATAGAGGTAAGGTACAAAATCACAAAGCAAAACATTCAATGTTGCTGTTGACGTTAAAACGTTCGTATTAAAATTTCAGGTATGTAAACTACTTAGACACATAGCAATGTCGGAAACCCTTCAAGTCAGCGCGAAATTTGCCGAAATCAACCTAAGGATATACGGTCCTCAAGTGGTGACGGCAGCGCGCACACTAGCGGCATATCCAGGCAGTGCGGCCGCGCGGGAAAACCTTGACGTCTTCGTGGACATGTGGGCCTGGCTGCTCNCGTTCGTATTAAAATTTCAGGTATGTAAACTACTTAGACACATAGCAATGTCGGAAACCCTTCAAGTCAGCGCGAAATTTGCCGAAATCAACCTAAGGATATACGGTCCTCAAGTGGTGACGGCAGCGCGCACACTAGCGGCATATCCAGGCAGTGCGGCCGCGCGGGAAAACCTTGACGTCTTCGTGGACATGTGGGCCTGGCTGCTCGCTGACGCCGCACGTCTCGCCACAGAGCTGCTCCACATCACAGACGATAAACCCGACAAACAACAGTACAGCAGTTTACCAAGACCCGGTGTGAGTTGAGATCCGACCATATTTACAAAAGTAAAATACAGGCATCATACAATTTATGACTGCTTAATATTTTCCAGAAACACGGTACGACGAGTAAACCTTTAAAAGCCGTCAAATTGGACTCGGACGAACAAGCAAAAATAGCGAAATCGGGTCTAGAAATGAAAATGATGTCTTCAGAAATGGACGCTGAGACTGAGAGATGGCAGGGCGCCGCCGCCGACGAAAACAACGACATCGTAAAAAGGTATTTAGTTTTATTTAGTGTATTGATTCTTGTTTAATTGTAATAATATATAAATTATTAGTGAGTCGCAGACATTAATAATGCTTTTAATGTTTATGTTCCTGTATTACCTATCATTTTACAATGACCGCTGTTTCAAAATCGGTTTGGAGCTAACGCTCGCTCAACAATTTGTAAAAAGACATTCAATGATTGTTTTGCTTAATCTATTCCAGGGCAAAAAATATGTCTTCCATGGCTTTTGCTATGTATCAATTTACTAAAGGCGAGGGTCGTTTAAATACAACGCAAGACCTATTCACACAAGCAGAGTATTTTGCTGAAGAAGCGAATAGGCTCTATAAGATTGTTAGACAATTTTCATACCAGGTACGAAAATAAAATTAATAAAATTGCGATGAAAGAGTTTTCCCACCAAATTACTAACGTTTTATTTTTAAGGTTCCTGCCGGTTCAACAAAAAAAGAACTTCTGGAACATCTGGACAAAGTACCGACCTACGTTCAACAATTACAATTCACGGTAAAAGAGCCCACGGTGGGACGCGCTGCTACATTCAGCAAAGTCGATAACGTCATCCAAGAGACCAAGCACCTCATGAACGTGATAAGTAAAGTTGTCACCACTTGCTTCGAGTGCGCGAACAAGGTAATTATTTCAACGTATTTAAATCGATATAATTTTTTTCAATTATAAGATTTTTGAGCCACACTGCGCACATTTTTCTAGTTATTTAAGTAGGAAATATAATAATGTTAGTGCATTGGAACATAATGTTCCTTAGGTACCTTTGCCGTGGGAGGCCCGTGTGGGAGTGGTTAAAAGGCACCAGAGTGTTGCACCTGTTAAGTACTTTAAAGATTATATTTCATTCGTGGTTGTTAGAATTTCGAAAGAAAGGTGGAACAGTGTGATTACAGTTGAAAAGATTTATTCTTGGTATAGATTATACGTCTTAAAAACAAATAGAAATTTAAAGTGACCCGCGATATTCAATATCGGATACATCAAGAATAAATCTTATAGTAACATAGAATAGAGTTTGACATAGCAATAGAATAAAAAAAATACAATTTACAAGATATCCCATTACTGTTATTATCGTTTAATATACATATTTTATTTGTTTATTTCTGTTTTTCCTATCGCCTCACGCCGGATGGTCCCATCCATCCAGGGTCTTATACCGCTGGACAAAGCGATAAACAAAACCTCAGCGAATACAAGGGACGACTCGGTCTGTCTCTGTGTTGCACTTTCATATAACATCATCCAGGCATCCATGTACTTATGTGTGTAGTTACTGAAGCATGTCTGTGTTTTCATCATGTATACTGTCATATCCTTCCATTTTATAGAAATGTCTATTATTTGTTGCTATAAATCTTGTTTCGATTGTTTACGTGGCAAAATTGGCTAAAAGCTAGAACAATAAAAAAAATGCTACATCCTGTAAACGAGAACATGAATCTGTTTCACAATTATTATTATTATTATTTGTTCATTTGGCTTTTATTTTATTTTCGATATGTTTTATTTCATTTTTCAGTACTCCCTGTGTATGCCTCAAAGAGTTCCTATGTATTGGAAACCAAATTTACAAAAAGCATCCACCTATAAAAGTGAAAATAGTGTTTTGAATGGTTGATGTAGGTATATTGTGGATTCAAAACTGTGTTCATTTCTAAAAAAATACTAATATTACCGAACTAATCAGCTGTTAATATTTGTTTGATACTTGAAGACCTTAGCGTAGCGTTGTTCTTGATGGTGTTATCGATAGCTAAATGTTGAATGTTGTTCATGTGATGTTGCGATGAAACTTTTTAGATTAGTCTCTGTGTGATATGTTTCCGTTAACTTAGAGTTTATATAAATATATATTTCAATATAAACTTTAAGCGACCCCGATCTTATCTTACCCAAAATGAAATACCTCCGCTAGAACTGTTGGTCTTTCAACCTCGTAAAATTCTTCCTCTATATGGTAATTGATTTCAATATTGTGTGTTTGTACAATTGGTGTCTATTTACCTGCTTTTTAAATTTAAAGTTGTTGGCGTGCATGGTGTTCCTTAATCAGTGTCAAACTTCGAAACCTGCATTAGCATTTGATTTACTTAAAGTATATCATGAAAAAAAATAAACTTCGATGATCAACTGCTACTGAAGATTTGAAGTTATAAATGTTTGTGGACCTCACGAATTTATTTGATTTTATTCTAATGTGGATTTGTGTAAATGCAGTACAAATTGGAGTTCACGGGTTTATCAGCGGGTGGGGCTGGGTCTGGCGGGGGGCGAGGTACATCGCGGGATGAGGAGGGCGGTGGCGGGGGTGGTGGAGACGCCAAGCCGGGGGGGAGTAGCTCCGACACAGCCATGTGACAGTACGGCATGGGCCGGCGCGGCAAGGGCGACGCGCGCCGGACCAGGGTCAGCTTCCTCTTGTTTTAAACGTATAAAAGTTTAAAACAATACGTCGCCTCCGTGTTGGTCATACGTAGAACTAGTTGCAATGCATTAATCTGAATTCATGTGTTATGCATCTCAAAAAAAACGTTTGTCCGCCGCATAAATAAGTATGCGTACCAAAATTACAACCTTTTCGATTCTTGGGATTGCAGTTACGACTGGTGTTAACTACTAGGAGGCGTTTTGTAGAAAAAGCTAAATTAGCTGTATGTAATAAAACGTTCTCAAGAAAGAGAACCAATTGCTTTAAAAAACTTGCGTATGGTTCAGGGGGCTTAGACTTGAAGTAAGCCTCCTATAATACTTCCATATAAAAAACCTAGGCAACCAAAAAACGGTGAACAGTATTAACTAAAAATACTGTGGAAAAACAAATTATAAAATAAAAAACACAAAAGTCAAACAAATTTCCATTATAATTGCATATTAATGAACAGATTCGTGTATTACCAACGATGTTCTTCGTGTGAAGAATCACATGCATTTCTGTCTACGATAATTACCAAACGCACCAAGAGCGTAGACTTTATTGCGTGTGACGCTTAAATACCAACACCGAAACCAGCAAATTTATTCAATTACTTCAAAATGAATGCATAGTATTGAATAATTTGCAGTTTAAATTGATAATAAGATGGACAGTACGATATTTCTTAATAAGTTTCAACAGAGCACTTGCGACACACAAATTCTCTTAGAACTCTTTCTATCTATGAATAAAAGAGTATATAGTACTAGTCTTGCGATTACTTAAGTCACAAGATAATTACATAATATAGAACGTGAAATTAAAATATATGTAATGTTTTCAAATGAAACTTAATTTCGAAAAGTTTATTATATTGTTAAATGTTACAAAGGATTGTTACTATTATGCCTTAATGTTAACACCACGCTCATACTTTTCACGATTAGAAAGTTTATGATACGCAAAACAATAATGAAAATATATGTAATGTTAACAGTGTATTCAGATATAAATAGAATCATATACAGATATTATTAGTGTCTTTGAATATTGCCTAATGAAAGATTTAAGTATTTTGGGATTAATTACCTACATATTTATAAGGATAAGAAAAAATACACTTTTATCAAATAACACATTGTTACAGAAACAAGAACACTTACCCTGATTTTTTTGTTTTATCCTAAACATTATTTGTAAAAAATAGTATGTACCTACAATCGACATGACTTCACTACGCCCTTTTCTATATATCTAAGCCTTCTTTCATGTACCTAGTGCACTTTCTGTGGTCCTGTCGCACTTTGATTTTCTTTATGCACGCATGCTTTATGTGAACCTTTTATTTGGGACAATGCTACATCTCTACCGTCACCATCACAAACACACTTACTCTCGCAGCATTCGATGTTATCGCATTCTAGTGAGTGGCTCTTTTTAACGACGAGTTGTTGTAAATACATTAGAAAACGAACCGCTGAATTAATTTTGCGTATTCTGCTCGTGCGTGCGTCGAGTAATTGTTGCATGATTGTGAAACGAAAGATATAGACATGTGTGTTGCATGTGTGTAACGTGATGATCGCAATGGATGTCGTACGTCATCTTTCCGAGGATTTTTAACGTTAAGATGGGATGGAAATTGACTCTGGTGGTTGCCGACGCAGCCCCCACGTCGCCCTGCAAGTGTTATATAGACCGGAGGCGAGTGCGTCACCGAGCCAGACTGCCGAAGTTCGTCTATACGTACATACGTGCATGCTTCTATGTGTATCATGTTGGTTGCTGGCTTGACTGTACGCATATCATTACGCCCGGCATGTATGCAATGTTATAATTTATCATTGTTCGCAAATATTCAACATATCGTATTTAACGTAGGTTTATATATATATCGCAACAGAGGATATGACGACAAAGTCGTTTTAGTTACTAAGTTATAGTTAATATTCAAATATAGCCTAAAACTAGAAGATTTTCAGCAATAATAAATATTACTTTCACTAAGTGCCGCTAGATAGGTATTAATTACGTTTACGATTGTGTTCGTAGTAATTTAAGTATTTTGTCATATAGATTTACTATAATGTGGCTTTCGCTGCAAAATGACAAATAATCATTTAAAAAATCTGAAAATAGTAACAGTACCTAATATACGCTAATTTCGAAAAGTTGCGAAAGCGGTTTGATGAATATCCATGAGCAAGTTCCTTCTTACGGCATAGGCCTCTGCTTTCAACGGTACTAAAAACATTAACCTACGAAAAACAACTCCGCAAATCTGATATATTTTCGTAGATGTTACGTAGCAATAGAGTAGGGCTAGTTTCATAGTTACTTATTTGTGAGTTCACACGAGGAAGGATCAGTTTTCTGTCTATTTCTCAGACAAGCAACGTGTGTTTCACTTTTAAAGATAGAACAGCCGTCAATCTTCAATCTCGTTGTTACTATGTGATGTATGTACCGTAGTATTTATCATGAAGTGGGTTGTAAGTTACTAAAGCGATAACTGTCAGGAAAAAAAAATTAAGTACTCGATGCACGTAAGTCACAAGGATACAGAAGCAGAAAAATAAGATATAATTATGTTTAGGACATATCAAATTTATATAAAAGTTGATGTAATTTTCAAAACTTTCATTTATTTGAGAGAGACATTAAAGTATCACGCCAAACTATGTTTGAAAAAATAAAATTACTGTTAAAACGCTCGCTCTGCTAAGCGCGTATCAAATGAAGTTTATAAGACGTATATACTCGACGTTACGAAAGCTGTGAGTTCACTATTTTCCTTTTTACTCACAAATGTTTTAGAATTAGATTGTTTGTTCGTGAACGTCCTGCTAGTTACACTGATTCGTATCGGAAGCAATGCTTTGTACCTTGTTCTGTCTAAACTCTAAAGGTGTCTCAGTGTCTGTGCTCGATCTCACACCTCTGTTTCAATGGTCTATATAACACTTCCGCTTTATTCAAGCAATCCTTTAGTATTCTCTAATCTTACTATAGTATCGAATAGGCTCTATTTTAAGTTTTGTAAAAAAAATTGTTAACTCTTGTCTACTCTTTATATTAAATCCTTTTCATTTTTAATTATTGTAAGTACATTGTTAATTGATAAATCGTGTTATAGGTAAGTGTTTTTTTTAATGTATTACGAATGAATATTGTTATTCAGAATTGTAAAGTTTATAATTAATATAAATGAGCTTGATGAAGCTTTATAATGAAGAGTTGTGAATCTAATTTGTGGCCATGTAACATTTAGGGTCATATAGTTAAAATTATGTATTGCTGCGACAGATTGGCAATTTATTCGTTAAGAATAACTTAAATTGGACAGTATCTGTGTATATTCGTTCATGAAATTAATTAAATATGATATTGTAAAGGCTCTGATTCCCGCGTGAAGAGCTAAAAAGATACTAACACTTAGAGGACTAATTGCAACGTATGAGTGAAAATGGAAAAAAATAATTTTCTTATACTTATTTTATAGTCCATTCGGTTAAGATTAGATAAAGTGCAACGCTGTATTGTGCCAAAAAGTACAACATAAGATATTCACGTATTCTTAGAATTTCTATAGACACTTGATGAAAGTATTATAATGTTTCCCACCATTAGTGTAATAATATAAGATCGATTTCATTTTAAACTCATTTAGGATACAATTTATTCAGAATGTAGTTAGTGATGTTATTATAGATGTTACAATAGCTGTGCCGTTGTGCCTACTCGCGTAGAATAATAATTTTGAAGCGAGTCTACTAACTACTGTCATTAGAGTTAACATATTAGCAACCATAGTGATGACCGCTACACTCCACGCGAGTTTAAACTTTATTATAAAACGCAATAACTTCCATTACATTGAAAAAGCAATTAACGAAAATTAGATAACGATAGATAAATTTATAGACGATACAGTGATTTGTGATATTACATTGTACTTATTGAAATTTTAGTACAACGTCCTTTTATTTCATTGTTTATATAGTTATATGAATAGATTGACACGAAAAGAACACCAATAATAGGTAATATGTACCGTTAAATAATTAACATAATTTATAATTAGTCGTAAGAAATGCTACTCGAGGTGTGATGTGACGGTGATTATATCGATAGGTCTTTAAAATGAAACGATTAAAATATTTGCTTTACTGTTAGAAAGTCTTTGAAAATTCAAGTATTTTATAGCCTTAGTTTTCATTGTTAACTATTCTTAAGAAACTTTCGAATATTACGCTCTTTTATGAATTACCACTACTATTGTTATTATCTACAATACACTTGAATTTCTACAAATTAGTCGCGTTTACGAAAGAATATTAAATCAACTTTTTTGACACACACTTAATTACTTACTTATGTACACAATAAATAAGTAACACCTAAGCCTTCTTTAATATATCTACACTGATTTTGCGGGAAAACTTTATTGACGAAACCTTCAAAATAAAAATTCCTCTTTTCGGTCCTGAATGATTAAGAAGAATACATATTTATAGATTTTTCAAATTTATACTTAATTTACATTTAGTTTTGGTATAAAAATAAAGCAATCTTAAAACTGTATGTAATTTCGTAACATCACTTAGCACTTCTGGAATATTGATTTTTTTAGTAAATAAAAATGTGATCAATCAATAATCTGTATAGGTACAAATACGTATATTGCTTTATAAAGGCAATCAAAAAAGGACCGAAAAATTAATATACAACTATAATCTAATATAGCGCAGAGTCAAAATTTAATAGATTATATAAGAAACACTAATATTTTAATGTACGTTTAATATAAATTGGTGAAACCCTGAAGGAAAACAAACCCCGTTATATTATTAGAAGCTGTAAATAGTTAAATTTCAATAATACATGATATAATAAATTAATAATAATTTCTACGTGTGCGTTTTAATATCGCGTCGTAGATGAAATGTTGTGATTGTTATAATATATTTGATGAATTCTCATTGTAAAAATGATAATAATGTAGAAGTACATATATTTTCCATAGCGCTGCCAAAGATGTATTTAGGATGTATAGATGTGTTTATAAGAAGTTATTCGGAGGTTGTTCGTGATTTTAAGGAGATTACGTTCTTACACAGACGACTTAAATATAATTTGCGATTAATAAGAACGGGAATGACAATACATCATAATAATTGTTTTAAAAATAAATAAAAACGTTGTAACAATTTCCACTTTAGCATTGACACAAGTTTCAATTAATCGTTATTTTTCAATATACCTATTGTATATGTATATTTATTTTGAATCAAGTAAATTATGAAGCAACTTTTGACGTTCAGGCCGTTGGAGTTCCTGTTCTTATTTTGAAATTGCATGCGATTTAGCGGCAATTGTGCACCTACTGTTACGAATGGAAGTCAACCGTTCATGATTTTAATCATTTCTAACCATGAAAGAATACCATGGTCTTTATTTCATATTCTACTCGCAATAATAAGATAATTATTTGTCCCCTGTATTTAAAACTAGAACATTGTCTATGATGAAATGAAAATACTGAATCAAAATTCACAAAATGAAGCCACGGCGGACATCGTAAGAATGGGTGCACACTTGCTTGGGATTTTCCTAATACGTCACCAAATAAAGCAAACCATAATAAAATCCAACTGTTTTATTACGTTTACCCTACAATTGGTCTAAAATCCTTCGTATTAAAAATCGAGGGCTGAAAGGATATGTGCTTTAGGCGACATTTTTGCAACTTTACAAGAGAGCCACTTATAGTTTAAAATTTGGAAAAATATCGTAATAAAAAAACTTCTTCAGCTATTTGAATAAATTAAACTCAATTGAAGTTCAATTAAAAACATCGAACTATTGAAGCTCATACCAAACAAAACACATCTTTGATTACAATGATAAATATCGCGTATCATGGAAATGTCGCATAAACCAAATAGCCCGTCGACATGTTTAACAATATCCGATCATTTTAAAGTTTTATACTACATAGATACGCGAACGATCTTTTATAGGTGGTACCCCCCCGAGTAAGTACCTAAATCTTAGATATTACTGCGAAGCAGTCATGTGGGGACTCTGGAAATACCTACAAGACTCGACAACCATCGTAGCATTTATCATTTATTCACTGCTTTACGAGTGCAGTCGTGTGGTGTTGGGAACTCCTTCCTGCCGCAGACGCGATCATTTGACTCGAGACAGATTTTCGAACATCGTGTAGTTTGTGTTTCAATTACGTACAAATCGTTTCCACAAACAAATCTTTCTTGAATTAATTTATTATTTATGTTAAGTTATTAGATAAAAGGAATCGTTAACCAATTTTAATATTTTTCTCCAAAAATAAAACAAATCTTCCTATATATTACGTATTTATTTATTCAAAGGTACAATATATTACACCGTCCGAACTTCGCTCTCCCAACATTCCGGTTCGTAATGACTAAGCAAATTAATAAATCACGGTAGAATATTCGCCTAAAACGATACGAAACTAAGCATGTTCTTAAACCTAAAAACATCTTAATAAATAACGTGGAAGTCAATACTGTAGTGTAGTTTAAATACAAAATCATGCTGATTAAAAAAAAGGATTATACATTTATCAATCATATAGTAGGTGCAATAGTCGAATGAGAGATAATAAGGTGTAACGATAAAAAAAATATTTACACGAATGATCGTCACAAGTAAATAATAATATAGAATAAAATACATTTAGTCTTTTTAAAGTTAAAACAGGAATTGATTCGTCATCTTGTTAAGCTAGGCGTCCACTACGTTCGCGAACCTATAGCGCACCGCACAACTGTTCTGTATTCGTATTCTGTGCGAAAATAAAAAGCAGTACAAACTATGAAGCAACCGTACATTTTTTGTTGTACTCGCCAGTAATTTTAGATTTTTCTTCGGCGACTTATTAGGCAGATGAGGATACGGCCTATCGGTAAACGTTCGCCTATTAAATCAACAGTGTCACGTCATAGCCAAGTCGTGGCCTATAGCGGAGCTATCGGCGTACGAGCGTAGTGGATGACCAGCCTTACATAATCTCTCGACAGATTAACGAAATAATTAATGGTTCATGTCACGTGTTGAGAGATCGCGTCCTTATACCGAGCGCTATCGGCTAGCTAGTTCCTATATCAAAAACTGAGCTATGAGCATAACATTAGTATCACTAAGCACAATATACTCGAGTATATTCTAAAACGAACGCTGTGCGATTTCGATACATACGCGTATTCCAAATTGCACGGATCAAGCCGAAATATTAGAATTAAAAATATCACTTATCGTTAAAAACTTTAGAATGTTTTCTAATACAAATCGATTGTAGACCACTAATTGCCTCCTATGTTAATCAAGAGCGATTTTCTTTTGTCACGAATGTAATAGTTACTTACTATATTATATAATATTTAAATTATTTTCATTTTCGTTTTTGATTGGTTTTGAGCTAAACAGATCACACATCGTTGGGTCGAACCGTCACGCATGCCGGCTTCGAAACAGATCTATTATTAAAAGCTATTTGGCATCTTTCTGGACGTAAACATGTGATTTAAACGTTTGGGCTAACCCTGCTATTGACAAAAACGTTGTAAAAACTTTTCGAAAAAGAAATCATCATACAAAATTAGGCCCCACACACTTACATTAAAAAATAAATGCCTTGTCATGGAATAATTTGAATTCGTACATAAATTGAAACATTTAAATAATAGATCTGATGTTCTACACTTATTTATTGCCTCTGGTAGTCTTGGTTTAATCGTTGTAATTCGTTATGTCTAAAATACAATTCGACGTGTATGAAGAAGACCTTATATAGATATTCCAGTTGCGACACTCTTAAAAGACCAATCTGCAAATCACATTGAACAATCTCAGTACTTATTCTTAGATTTAAATTTTCTAATTCATTAATAATTCTCATTTATTGCTTTAAAATTCATTAATACCAATATTTCAATGGTTTTCAGAAACATGAACTAAGAAAAAGAAATCGAGACCTGAACATTATTCAGACAGAAAATGTTTTAATTTTAGTTACTGTTTTTGAACAATACATAGCATTTCATAAGTAACACGGAACATAGATAATGACAATAAGACCAGAGTTAGGGACAAATAAAAAAAACCCCATAAAATATAAAGTGAAATTAATTCATTCCATGTTAAATTTTATATGGAAAAGAAGTGATTTGATCATACGAGGTAAAATTTATATTAAACACAGAAAGTGTATTTATTGTTCCATTCACTACTGATACTCATATCGGATTTCTCAAAGAAATAATAAACTGTATACAACAAAGAAACCTAGGTAGTTAGTTAGCAAATAGATGATTTTTTTAAATAAATTTTCGTCTCTTGTGTGTGTAATTCTCATATTCCAAATGAAGAAATAAGATAATAAGAAAATTAAGAAATCTATGGTGCTCTTAGTTTAATCATGCACACATCATAAGTAACAACAAAAAGCTTGTGAAAACTTAGAATGAAAATTTGTAGATATGTTATTCGTTGCAAATTTTGAAATCATCATGTACTTTTTAATTCGAATAAAAGTCAAAGAAATACATTTGCTTCAGGAAGTCACGCCTACAATGATGTAGATCAAACTTTCCCTCATTTCATTCTTTTATGACATAAAATACACAGACATATTAATTAGCCGGCATTCAAATTAAGCGTGAGCTTAGTATTCATAGAAAACCTTAAGTTTAAATTTTTTTTAAATCAGATTTATATTCACATACCATTGCTTTTCCATAGTCAGGTACAATGTTCAAATAAACGACCCACCCGATTAATTTTTTTTACAGACATCAAAGTAAATAGACAGGGGAGATTTTAAATTCGGGGCATATATTTTTTTTCATACGCCTTTTAATAACCTAAGCAATTTTCGTAACACATACACACAAACACCACAAACAGTAAACGAAGACAGGAATTTTCAAGTTTATTAACACATTGTTCAAGCGTGTACGTGTAGTGTTAGGGTTGCCAACGCTGTTTTTTTTAATGTAATAAATCTCAATTCACAGATGACTCGTAAAGAGCCGTGACAGCGTATTACATTCCAAATATTTAAAAACGTAACATCCTTGTACTATTCGCTTTTGCGAAACAATTCCTCGTTTAGCCCTAAAAGTGACAAGTGAATCTAAATCGAGTATCAATAGTTGAGTATTCTAAATTTAGCACGACAATCGTTGTTAATGTTTCAGTGTTACACATTTGGCAACCCTATATACAGCAACGTACGAAATTTTATTCTAATTATGTCTCTCCACGACGTGCTCCGCATAACAGTTTAATTTAGAACATCTCTAAATACGACATCAAATCGATGTGGACACTTGTTATGAATGCAGGTCGCGTCGCTTACGAGACGATCCCCGTTATACAAGTAGCGTGATTCGCTTCCCGATTATATTCGATAGTTTATTGCATTAGACAACACATATCCAAGAGAGACGCGGTGACGAAACACGAGGTTAGTACGCGCTTGTCGCGGTGGGTGCGAGGCCGACGTTTCAGACAAACAAACATTTTAGAACAAACCTTTCTTTTTCTTGTCCTTCTTTTCTTTGCCGTCAACGGTTCTGAAAATACAACAAACATTTTATTATTGTAGTTTTCCGGCGACATCGATTTTTTTTTATCTATTCTAGTAACCCAGAGGGGTTATTCTAGATTCGCCGAACTAGTAGATGAGCTCGCGGGGCTCAAACCTGACGTTGTTGCTAACACGAACCCCAGCAAGAGCCGTGCTTGGCAGAATCTATCAGCGGAACGCAATCGCGACCTATTGAGAAGATCAGGCGAGAAACTCAGTGGGCTGTGTCTGTGGGTTAATTTCCTCGTCGAGCCCCACGATGACCGGTGCTTGAGGTACCTAAAAGCACCGTTAGTGGATCGGGAGGATCCGAAATGACGTGTTTTGGGCGACGTCGACTGCTTTCCATTCGACTTTCCATGCTTTCCATTTAACGTTTGTTTGATAATGATAGTGATAGTAAAATACTAAAAGCTCGTTTCAGGTTCGGGAACGTTAAAATGAACTAAATAGTTGTAATGTAGTGAGTGGTTTATGTACTCTTTGCTGTTGGCCTCGAGCGAGCGCCTGCGCAGGTCGTCGAGCGAGAGGCCGGTGTCGCGCTCCCAGGCGGCGCGCTCGGCGTTGAGTGCGCGCTGCCGCTCGTCCAGCTCGCGCGCCTGCGCCTCCAGCGCGCGCCGCGTGGCCTCGTGCCGCCGCGCCAGCTCCGCCTCGGACTCCTTCAGCTTCGCGCGCTTGTCGCGGACTTTCGTTTGGAATATCTGAAAACGAGCGATGATCACGTTTTTTTTTTAGACGAGCTCACAGCCCATCTGGTTTTAAACGGTTACTGGAGCCCATAAACATTTTTTTTTTATACAATTTTTCCTTATTAGAAATGGCAAGGGAATCTAAGCCTATACAGCCTTGTCTGTTCTATATAATTTCTGAAATAAATTTTCAAAAAAGCCAGGAATTTTCAAAAAAGCCAGGTCTTATATGATTTATATGATATCCTGAAATAAAAATTTCATGAAGGCCGAAGCCAAGTCCTTTATAATTTCTTTCTGAAATAGCCCATAGACATCCACAACGTAAATGCGCCACCCACCTTGAGATATAAGTTCTAAGGTCTTAAGTATAGTAACAACGGCTACCCCACCCTACAAACCGAAACGCATTACTGCTTCACGGCAGAAATAGGCAAGGCAGTGGTGGTACCTACCCGAGCGGACTCGCAAGAGGTCTTACCTACCACCAGTAATTACGCAAATTATAATTTTTGCGGGTTTCATATTTATTACACGATGTTATTCCTTACCGTGGAAATCAATCGTGAACATTTGTCGAGTACGTATTTCATTAGAAAAATTGGTACCCGCCGGAGATTCGAACACCGGTGCATCGCTCAACACGAATGCACTGGACGTCTTATCCATTAGGGCACGACGACTTCAATTCAGTGGTGGCAATTGCAAGATTGAATGCTCTCCTGACTTGACTTTGAGCGAACGCCTATCACACACGATAACAACGTAGACGGTCTTCGATTGTTGTGCGAATTGGTCTAGATCCAAATGAATTTCGATGAAAAGGGTTCCAATTATACATTTTCATTAATCAAAATCAAAATTTACTTAAATTTTTACTTGACTAATCCAAAAGTAACATTGATGTTTATATTGATCTACAAACCCAAGAAAACAAATCTTGAAAATTAATACTCACTTGTTCCATTTCACTCTCCATTTTTTCCATCTTTAGGTCGTGTTCGCGTTTTTCCTCTTCCATCTGTGCTAATGGATTCCTGGAAGTAAACAAAAGCATTTACACAAAACCGTTGTAGGTGCAAATTTTTGTTTCTTAATGTCATCATTAATTTTATTACGTACAAAATTTATCATGCAAAACAATCTTAGTGTCATATCTATAACATTTCCAATAATTACTAATAACTTTACATTCAGATCTTAAGATAATAACAAATCAAGCTCATCTTTAAAAGGGGAAATAACTTTTGGATTTAAAATGTAAAATCACAAATAAAACGTTTTACTTAATTTGTTTAGACGCTTTGTCCTTCTGTATTTAAATAATAAACACATTTGGGTATAGGGGTATCAAAATAAAATTGTCATGCATATATCGTTCCTTACATTTAGTTGAAAAAACTACAAGCAATTACCATTGAAAGCTGTGTAAAGAAGACCTAGGACAATGACAGCAACGATAAAAAAAAACATTCAAAAAAAAGGTTTTAATCTTGAACGTCAGCGTTCTTTTTCGAACGTCATTTAAAACTCAAAAGTTAGTAAATCACGAAACCCTCAACCACACAATCACGAGTTAGTACACAACACCCACAGCCGCTATAACCGAAATGATGCAAAACTAATAACAAGCCACACCCAAGTCTAACAACAAGTAGTCCCTCCACATTGTGAGACCCCATTCGGCCACGTGACCCAGACTAAAACCGTGCTCTACGTACGTAGATTCAAAATGTATTTCGTGGGGAACTTACCACACGGTCATGAAACTGTTCATCAGTCCTTGCGGGCACAAACTGAACACCAACACAACCAATAGTTAACGACACAGGAGGCTGTGCTCGCGCAATCATACAGTGGCATTACCAACTCATTCTCGTTTATATAAGCAGATACGTTTTTTAGCTGGCAACACTCGATTTGACTGCCATTACGAAAATAAGGCTTACTATTATGTGACGTCATCGACTTAATAAAATGTCACTCAGCTCAAATATTTACAAGATCCTAATCTCTATCCAAAATGTTTTTTTTTATTTTATTTGATATTAGTATCAAATGATCGTTTTTCATTGATAATTTGTCAGTGTTCTTTATTTGTTCATTATATATTATTTTCTCCTTTCTTTATATGTTCATTAACAATATCAATGACAACAACATCTTTTGTGTTAAAGCAAACAATAGAACAACGAAACGTGAACCACTTCGCTGGCACGAGACACTTCTTTTTTCGATGTGTTTTTGTTCTCTTTGGATAAATACAAATGGAGATATGAATAAGTGACATCATAGTGTGCATAACCGAACAAATGACACACGCTCGTTAAATAGTTGACAAATCACTTCTAAACACACAATCGTGAATGAATTGTTATTAATGCCACTGTGAAAGCGAATGAACTGCAACTTGTAACATGTACTGGATTCGTCATGGACCATCTCAGTGTGGGTTTCAAAAACGTTATCTTAATAAAAAGTTTCCGTACAAATCTAAAGACCAATATTAAATGGTCCATGACGAATTCGAATGATAAATGTTAAAAACTATTATTTCATTTCTGCATGCCCAAGCACAGAACGTTCGTTTGAATAGATATATCGTACGCAGCTATTATATAATACTGAACATAAACATACAAAACAAAATATATTCAGCTCACAACTGCGACAGTAAAGAGGAAAGATACAAATCAGTAAAGGTTACCAGACATGCAGCAATGATAAAAGTAATGGAACACACGGTGTCAATGTTAATATGATTATTAATTTAGATTCAAAACTATTTTCAAAAAATTCATATTTATAGTCTGGTGACCTTGAACATGGTGACAACAGTACAAATAAAAATGAATAACATTAGTTTAATTAGTTCACCAACCCTGTCTTATTAGGTTGTTAAAACTAAACATGCCTGTTCCGATTGAATTCTGCTAATTCGAAGAAAATACTTCGTATTTTTTTTAAAAGTAAAATGCGTAATTATTCACTGAAGAAGTATTAGTTCGAAATGGTATGATATATGAGTTAACGTACTTATTAGAGTTGGTTCTGTGCGGCTTCCCGTCGTGCGAGAGTCCGGCCAGTTTGCGACATCGATAGTTCTCGTAATGCACAGAGCTGGTCACGTCCTTCAGGTCCTGAAGGTGCGTCCGTATCACCATGTTCCGAAGCGCCAGAAAATCGCAGTGCTCCAAATTTTCAACTAAAATCACAAGTAAGTTATTATTTTGTGAAGTATTTAGAATTACTGTTTATTAGCGGCAACACAGTTTTTACAGCGTTTTTTTTTATTGCTAAGTTGAGCGGAGGAGCTCACAACCGACCTGGTGTTAGGTGGTTACTGGAGCCCATATACATCTACAACGTAAATGCGCCACCCACCTTGAGATATAAGTTCTAAGGTCTCAAGTATAGTTACAACGGCTGCCCCAGCCTTCAAACCGAAACGCATTACTGCAGATTCACGGCAGAAATAGGCAGGGTGGTGGTACCTACCCGCGCGGACTCTAAAAGAATTATAATTTTGCAGGTTTGATTTTTATTAGACGATGTTATTCCTTCACCGTGGGAATCAATTTGTTGAGTACGTATTTCATTAGAAAAACTGGTACCCGCCTGAGATTCGAACACCGGTGCATCGCTCAACACGAATGCACCGGACGTCTTATCCCTTAGGCCACGACGACTTAAAATCGACATAAAACGCTTTTTTTTTGTTAATATGTTGAATCTAATGTGAGTAGGCTGTTTGAAGAGTACACACCCTCGGCGATGCCCCAGGGGTACTTCCTGCCCCGTATGCGGCGCCCGTCCTGCTCTATGACGGTGTTGGCGCCGACGACGGCGAAGGGTACCCGCGCCCGCAACGACTTGGTGACGTCAGCGCCGTCCCCTTCCTCGCCCGTGCTCTCCGGGAAGTCGTAAATTTTAATCTTGTGCTGACCGATTTCTTTCATTATCTGGAATTATTATTATTACTCTGTGTTATATCTATATCGACACAATCGTGTGTAATTTCTAGTCGGATATATTGTTTGGTACCAGTTGAGTGCATGGTATAAACATCAATCTGTATGTTTCATGAAACAAATGTTTATGAGCAAGATTAATACGTAATTGGGCGGCACGTCGCCACTATCCCTCTTGAAAAATGAGGTGGTATTTTCTAATGAGATTAGTCATTTAGTCTTACTGATTAGGCAACCGCGGCTCTATTGTTCGGTCATATTTTATTTTTATTGCATAGATGGGTGGACGAACCCACAGCCTACCTGGTGTTAAATTGTTACCGGAGCCCATAGAAATCTACAACGCAAATGCCGCCACCCACCTTGAGATATGAGTTCTAAGGTCTCAGTATAATTACAACGACTGCCCCATCCTTCAAACCGAAACGCATTTTTGCTTCACGGCAGGAATAGGTGGAGTGGTGGTACCAACCCGCGCGGACTCACAAGAGGTCCTATCACCACTAATTACGCAAATTAAAATTTTTCGGGTTTGATTTTTATTACACGATGTTATTCCTTCGCCGTGGAAGTCAATTGTGAACATTTGTTAAGTACATACGTATTTCATTGGAAAAATTGGTACCCGCCTGCGGGATTCGAACACCGGTGCATCGCTACATACGAATGCACCGGACGTCTTATCCTTTAGGCCACGACGACTTCAAACTTATTGCTTTGCACTTTACACTTTACACAAAACTGAACACGAACCTGTTCTTTGAAGTCCTTGCACTCCTCGGGCGTCATTGTATCGGCCTTAGCAATGACCGGAATGATGTTGACCTTATCTCCGAGCCGCTGCATGAACTCGACGTCCAGGGGTTTGAGTCCGTGCCCGCTCGGCGCTATGAAGTACAGGCAGCAGTGCACGCGCGTGTCCGGCGGCGCCGCCTTGCGGGCGACACGTGATTCGGCGTTCAAAAACTCTTCGTACTTCGATTCAACGAAGTCGATGATCGGTTGCCAACTGTAACGTGAGGAGAGAGTTGGGGTATACAGTTCTTTTGGTATTACGTTTTTTTTTATAGCTTGGATTTGTGGACGAGCTCACAGCCCACCTGGTGTTATGTGGTTACTAGAGCCCATAGACATCTACAATGTAAATGCCGCCACCCACCTTGAGATATGAGTTCTAAGGTCTCAGTATAGTTACAACGGCTGCCCCACCCACCCTTCAGGCCGAAACACATTACTGCTTTACGGCAGAAATAAACGGGGTGGTGGTACCTAACTAAAATTACAAAGTACGATACAATACGAAAGAACCTTTATGTATTTAAAGCATGCCTAAAATAGTACACACAAAAGAAGACGAAATATATAACGACAGAAACTATTTTTAAACAAATTACTTAATTCCCGAACTCATTAAGGGAGTGCTTCCTTTAATTCTTTAAGTATCATCTACACACCAATTACTGTTATCGACGGCGTCGCCGAATCCCGGCGTGTCGACGATGGTCAGCGTGAGGTTAACTCCATTCTCTTTTAGAAGAACGACGCTGGTTTCAACGCCAACCGTCTTCTTCACTCGCAGCGACGGCCCCGGATGTTTGTCCTTGTCATACACCTCCGTCAAGAAGAGCGAGTTTATTAGTGTCGACTTGCCCAAGCCTGATTCACCTTGAATTCAAATTAAAAACGTCTCATTAGGAATTTGTTTCGCTAATTCAAAACGATGCATAAATACAGAAATAGTCTTATGAAAGTCGTCGGGGGTATTGACGTCAATAAGATAAAATGTAATAGAAATAATGTCAGTAACTCATAACAAACACAAGACGGCCCTTATTTACCGAGCTCGAACTACAGTTGTTATCGCTCTCGTATTGCGCATTAACAACGCAGCTATATCTTACCTACGACCATCAACGTGAATTCGAAGCCCTTCTTCACAGCTTTCCTGTACACTTGGTTCGGCAGATTAGCAAAACCGACGTAGCCATCTAGTTCTTTGGTTTTTGGTTTTTCTATTTTAGGTAAGTCTGGTTTCGGCGCGACCGGTGGGTGTTCGGGTTTCTGGAATGAAACACAAACACAATTTTTTAATTATTACAAAATCATTGAATTAAGCGCAATATCAAAATCCGTCATTAGATGAATACGAACGTATGTTCGAGTTCATTATAGAGATAATACGCGGGTACTAAATATTAAATATCTTTAACTGTCTTTACAATGACTCAACAGTAACTTCTTGTAATATGATGAAAGTCGCACAGTGTAACATTCATTATACAATGTATTGATAATAAGAATAAATACACTCATTGTTTTATCCGTTCTTGTACATTCTATGATAAAATTACGAACCTACCTTCATAATATTCTCTGTACTCCTGAGGGGTGTCGGTACTGGTGCGGGAGGTGCAGATATAGGTACAGGCGGCGCAGGCGTTGGCGGGGGCGCTGTACTCGGAGGCTTGGAGACATCTACCGACACGCTATTGCTGTGTTTCGTGGCGATCCCATTGGCTTCTACGTGGTTAGTCTCCTGAGGCTCTGGTAGCGTCGCAGAGCGCTTACTGAGCGCATCTTTGAGCGTGGAAGGAGGCGCGGGCGGTGCTGCAGAAGGCGGGACAGACGCGCTTACGCCGCCACCGCTTACAGTGTCCGACTTGAAAAACAGCTCTCGTTTACTCTGTAACTGAAAAACGAACAAAAGTTTTTTTAAACTAAAATGTAAGAGCGACTTATTGATAAAAGTAAAACGAATCGAGCTAGAAATAAACGCGACAAAGTTGTTTCATGACTAATAAATTAATTTAAAAACCGGTTTCTGATAAATTTAAACAAGACCAGTGGAGCGTTTTCACTTTTAACATTATCCTACGCGAAACATGATTGTTCTAGCTTTACTATTTTACGAGAGACATTGAAACCGTTTCCATTATTTTCTTAATTTGATAACTTACAGACAGCATATTATTATAGGCGGTAGGGTATGTTGGGAGTTGAATGGGTCAGTACCACCGTCTTGCCTATTTCCGCAGCAACTATACTGAGATCTTAGAACTTATATCTCAAGCTGGGTGGCGCATTTACGTTGTAGATGTCTATGGGCTCCAGTAACCACTTAACACCAGGTGGGCTGTGAGCTCGTCCACCCATGAAGGCAATAAAAAAAAACAATATATAATGCGTTTCGTTTTAGCGTAATCCTTTCACACTGAAGTGACTATTACAATTAGATCTTCGGCCTCGTAGCTGAAGCGGTGATGATGAAGTGCTGTCTATAAGCTCTGGTAAACACCAAACGAGTTGTGTGAGCAACTGTTCAATCAAAGGTAATCAAATTCTCCCCGAAGGTATATAAAAAAAGACTCCCGCAGCGAAAAATAATAATGTGGCACAGCTTCGCGAATACACTATTTGTACTAACATAGATTGTGTTTTCCATTATAGCTAGTTGATTATAATTGATAAAATCTGTGTATAACGCTGTTCAGTGTATTGAGTACATGTTAAGTAAGTAGGTGGAGTGTCGTACACACTCGAGTCGGTCTAGCCGGCTCCGTACTCCGGCGACAGATGACTCACCGATACAAGGTAATGCGTCTCAGAGTTATAAATTACTATAATATAGTATTCTTCAAACGTTCAAAATGACTAAGACGAATATCCCGAAACCGTAATGATTCGTTCTCGTCTTACTTTTGTTTTTATGGCAAATAATGTTGCTTGCCGCTTTTTTTACTTTAAACTTCAGAAACTAAAATCGACGATATTGCTCGTGATGTGTCTCTATTTCTATCGTTGTTTCCTCCTTGAAACTAAATATATTGAGTAAATATGCATACGTGAAGCAAAAACGTAATACCCTTTTTTACTAAAATTGCGCGAACAGAGGAGTATTAAATTTCCCACACTGATAAAGAATATAGAGAAGGAGTGCAGAATGTTAATATTTTTTTTAATTATGTATACAAAAATACTTTAAATCAATAAAAAAACATTACACACACTACCATGTATTTGACACAACATATATACATACTCTCTTTTTATGTATTGTCAACTTTTGTTATTGTTTAGTCTGTGGTCAAATTGAAAATAGATCAATATTGTTTGTCTTTAATATTATTTGTCTATAGTGTAGCCTTGGCGAAATCTGTGATTATAGAACAGATTTCGTCATATTGTCTTTGACAATAGAACCATAATAATGTTCAAACTTATAATTTCAAGTAATTATAGTCGAATTTCGACTACTAGGGGACCCCTAGTATTGAGTAAATTCATCAGTTGTTATGGTAAGTTTACATTTAGGCGCCAAGAGCGAAAGCTGAATCACAATGTCATTACAGACACCTATGCACATAAAACCAAACAACGCCTTCAATTTAAACTAGATCTTCATTTTTAATGTAAGTCGCACAAGATCACAGTGGTTTTATCTACTTTGAATGTCAATAACAGGAAATACATTTACAAATCGTATTTTCTAGAAATATTTAATTAAATTAATGACAATTTACTGTACGTCCTTTAAGCAACAATATTCGAACTAAAGCTGGAAACTGTTTGGAAATCTAATCAACAGAAACAAAAAAACAATTATATAGAACAGTGTTCTGCCAATGACCAAAAGTATGATTATAGTGTAATCACTGACATCTCAAGATTTTACATGTTACATTTTCTAGTTTGTTTTGCTATTGATATTTTGACAAACAGAGCGAAAAATGATACTTAACTTTTATCTTCGCCTATTTATATTTAGATTAAATGAATAAGATCACGAGTATGCAAATACGCACAGATAACTAACAATATAAGTGCAACTCCGAGTTCCTTGAGAAGTGCGACGACCGTTTAAGTCTGTCTTGAGACATCTGTTTCTATTAATAATATCGTTTTAGTACGTTATTTATATCATTTACTCACTTAACCTTAAACTCAAGACATCAACAGAAGAATATAAGTTTAAGTGTATTAAATAATAATGTGTAAATACCGATCATGGATTCTAAATCACTTGGCAAGTTTAAATTTATTCAATATTATGAGAAATAAATCATTCTCTTATAATCACTTTTCATTTACAATGACCCCGCGTGAACAGTCGGTCAAGACAATAAAAACCAAATTTAAATCCGTTGAGAAATGATGAAATCATGGCCCCTTTAATATCATGCTTCACAGATAACTTTGAATAATGACGTCAATGTTCAAATCCGCGTTTAATCGAATTATAAGTATTTTAGTAATCGTTATGCGAAAACGAAATACTTTGCGAGATCTCCAGTCCCCACCAATAACCATAAAAACGAATAAAACATAGGTCTTGTCTTTTAGGTCCAAGAAGTGTTTTACAAGACTAGTGTATAGAGCAAGAAAACCAATGGTCTTAGGTTCAAACCATGTCATGTTGTACAATGTACCAAACTGAAGAATCCGAACACGTGTCAGTCAGCTGACGTTTACGTTCACGAAAAAGTTTCAACATTGACAACCGACGCATAATGCACATAACACATTGCGGCATGTTCCCACACTAACATATATTATATTCTCATTTGATTGCATTACATATGCACACCGAATTCAAACGTATACGTCGAAATCTTGCCCGCCAACTGATGGGTTGCAATGTTCTGACATTCCCCTACGCGAATTGTTTACAAAATACACATGCGAATTTGTAAATAAACTGCATTACAATCTAAACTGACAAGGAATTTGTTTATTTACTTGTTTAAATATAAACAAATGAAAAGGATTTGGTTAAAGTACGATTCATTTGNCACACCGAATTCAAACGTATACGTCGAAATCTTGCCCGCCAACTGATGGGTTGCAATGTTCTGACATTCCCCTACGCGAATTGTTTACAAAATACACATGCGAATTTGTAAATAAACTGCATTACAATCTAAACTGACAAGGAATTTGTTTATTTACTTGTTTAAATATAAACAAATGAAAAGGATTTGGTTAAAGTACGATTCATTTGCCAATCAAAATAAAATTGTTCACGACATAATATCGAACTTACGTCATCGTCGCATGGAGGTTCACTTCTCTTAACTTTTTTCAAACTTAATCTCTTTTTAAAACTGTTGAACATCGTTCTCATCGTGTCATAAACACACTCAAGTATCACAATATTTTAAACTGTAACAACTATTTACACTCAATATTAACATAGAGGAAAACGAACTTGGAATATCGAAGGCGTGATACACGGGCGATGGTCCTCAATGTTTGTCGTTTACTCAACTGAGTAAAAATTTACCGTACCGTATTGTTCAATGTTTGCAAAACGTGGTAATACGACTATGCTGACTAATATGTAATTGATCATTAGTCAGTCAAAATGTTGATAACAAAAGTAAGTATACATAATTACAGTAGTCATATTATTATGAAGGTAGTCGAGGTTATTTCATTCAGGGTAGTTTTTAATGAAATGTTAATTTGGAAACTACACACCGCCGACACATTCGAGTAGGTACTAAAGTATTAGTAATTTGCGACGAAGATAACTATGTACTTATCGCTATTTCTTTCTACTAGTCCTACTTTATCACGATAACGATATTAATTACGAACCGATTATTATAAATATGTAAACAGTTCGAATAATGTTATTTGGAATTTATGTACAAATAAATGAAAACAAAATAGGTAAACTAGTGAACCATAACTACGCTTTGCTGTGAGTAACGCTGATTATTTGAACTTAAATGTATATAATTAATTTGAAGCATCTACATATGTCTAAATGATTATCCTTTGAAGGTACTATCAACCAAATATATTAGGTAGAAACCTTCCCTGAAATACCAACAGTTTCGCATAGATACACATAATATATGTTATGAAACAGGCAAAGATTTTGATTGTCAGTGAGTGAATAGTTATATAGGTTTTTTATGTCATTTTAGGCAGCCGTCAATGGTGACTAGACAGCGGTTGCATGAATATTGTTTGGTATATAAGGCTATGCGTCATGATAATCGCCTTATCGTTGCTGCCGCTGACTACTCCCCGAATCCTGATCACGCAGGAGCCAGTCACCGTCGACGCCCTAGACGCGTCCTTACGGATCCATCAGATCCAATAACCTTTGCATTAGAGGCCTTCAGCTCTAACACTAGGAGCAGGCTTAGGGACCCCGGTAACCGTAGTCGTTGAACTCGACAAAGAGTTCGACGTGCAACCTAACCCATGAATCAGCTCGCTGAGTTTCTCGCCGGATCTTCTCAGCGTGTCGAGGTTCAGATCCGGTAGTAGATTCATTCGCGAAGCAGCTGCTTTTGAGTTGTTAGGTCTCCTTCGAAAGCGCTCGGACAGCTATTAGCAAATCCCACCCCTCCTGGCTGAGCCTTTGCTTGCCCACCTGTCCTGGTGAAATTGGAAAGGCCTCCGGGCCACCAGTAATCCTTCAATCCTAAAAAAAAATAGGATTTTCTTTGGAATAGCGGACTTCACGACAAAGAGAATAAAATTGACGATTTAACTTACAGAAAAAAAACTTTCCATATAAATCAAATTGGGTCTGAAAGTTTTAGTTTTATTCTGAATTTAACTTAATTCTCATGGTATAGTCAAACTCAGATCGTCAGACTTCTCAATTTCACTTCTCAGCCCTAATTCCTGACATTTTTAACATGACGTTATTAGTTTCGCGGAACGGAATCT